GGCTTTACCACAACACAATGTCATTTATTAGTCACATAACAAACAAATGCTACGATCATAAATAATCTTCTTTATGGCTTTACCACAACACAATGTCATTTATTAGTCACATAACAAACAAATGCTACGATCATAAATAAGCTCTCTGTTAAGTTGTGCTGTTTCATATATTTAGTCATTTTAACTGCTTGAAGGTTCTTCATGGCATTGAGAGGAACATAATAAAATAATATTTGGTATATGACTTGTTCAGCTGTTACCATCATTACTAATCATTCTTCCTCTGTAGAACTGTGTGTTATTTACCCACCAAAACTTACGAGGAAAGAGGAATTTCATTAAAACTTATTAGGTTTTTGCCCATCAATCCCCACAGAATGTGTTTACTCATTAACCATCAAATTCAATTTTGTAATTACTCGTTCAGTCCTTGGTCTTCTAATCAATGAGGATATAACATCAGTGAGATTAATTTATATTTTTCTTAATATTTGCGTGAATTCTGGCAAAGTACTGAAATACATTTGAACACAGAGATCAATTTCTCATGTATGTTGTAGAACTGTTCTACAGACAAGTTTGGTGACTTCTATCCCGTCTAGCAGTACGAAAAACAAACCGTAAAAGCTAATATTCGATTTTGTTTTACAAGGACCAATTCTACTATAACTAGAAAGAAGGAAAGAAATTTCATTACTGATGCTTCTGACTGATTAACCTAGGACTCAATTTGGAGTAATGCTGAGAGAGAAAAGCAACAAACTGCTGATTTACAAATTGGTTCTTGATTATGCAGTGTACTTTTTTTTGTGAATAACAACTCATGTTTAATTTGATATAATATACGTACTAGAATTTCAGCTTTAGCTAGAAACCAAAGTAGGTTTAATCCATTCCACCTTTTAAACTATTCTTAGTCTTCAATGTCCTTTTTCTTGGTCCTTCAGTGGGACAGCGATACGTTTGCGTATTTACAACACTAAAATCCGGAGTTCGATTGTCCGCAGATAGCCCAATGAGGCTTTACTCTAAAACACAGAAGAACAATTTCACTTGAGCTCCACATTTACTTTCATATACTAGTAAAGTCAGTTTTCAGTAAACCAGTCAGGACACGGTGGAGGAGACAAAATAATGTTGTTTGTAACAAATACATTTAAAGTTGGAGTGATCCAGGAGATAAATATAGCATACATTTCTCAAATATAAGAAAATTTATTATCTTAGCTATTATCTATTGAATTTCAGTTTCATCTAGTTTTATTCATATAATTTTCATACTCACATCATTTTATTTGAGCCAAGAGTGCTTATAGAATCAAAAGACTAAAAGTTTCTTACCTGTACTCCTCTTCCTTTGTTTTCTAGAACGGACTTTGACGAGAACAATAATGACTAGGATCACAAACACCAGTCCAGCTACTCCTGCCACTATAGTCACTAGTATTGGTCTGAACTCCACAAACCATCCATCTTTAGGTTCTAAAAGGTTTGAATAAAATATGATGTTGGACAATCCTTCGACAATATATCCGCTAACTAAAGTCATCGGAATATTATTCGTTTAAATCGTCCTTAGAAGAAGAAAAATAATATTCGTTGTGATTTTGTGAAACTATAAAATTAATTTTTTTGAAAGTGTCAAAGATAGAAACTGTGTTCCTTGATTTCTTTGTAATGCCCCTAGTGGCTCAGCGGTAAGCCTGAAGGTTTATAATGCCAAAAATAAAAATCCGGATTTCGAGGTTTCGATACTCTTGGTGTGCATAGCGCAGATATACCATTGTCCAGCTTTGTATTTAAAAATCTAACAAACAAACAAAATAAATTTTTATAATAGTAATAGTTAATTCGTTTACATTATGTTTAAAGAGCGCATAATATTGTGCTTTTTACACACTGTTTATTACTCTTTTAATACAAATTTCACCGTTGATGGATGACGAAACAGGTCTTCGTTTCACTCTTCTTTATATATTATTCTACTAGTTTTGCTTAGATGTAAACACCGCTAATACAACGTTATTTGCGTTATATTAAAACTATATTGATTATTCAGATCACATGATAACCACAGCTGACCTAAAGTCACTGTGGAACGTAATGTATCAGAACTACATTACATTGTTTGGCGTTTTGTGGGAAGTGTGGTAACACCGAAAATGAAACAGCCTTTTCTAAAACATAATATTCATACATTCAGATCATAAAGATGTATTCAGGTTGGGGATTTAGAATCTTAAAAACGGATTATCCCTTGTAGTTAATGGAATTAGAAAATAAATGAATATGAACCAACTTTGGTAACAAGATCATCCTGAAAAGAGACCTACAATAAGTTGTACTCCAGCTGTGGTAAGTAACTTGTGGCGTTTTGTAACACCTGAGAACCCACGAACATAAAAGTCATTGGCAAAAGCCGTCTACGTGCACCAGGCAATAGTACGCAACGTAATCAAAAGTATGTTTATCAGGAGAGCGACATAAATGACGTGTACACAACCTGCTGCCACGACATATCAGTTCAATCGTCACATACCTCAAGCAGCTGAAGAAAGAAACGAGTATTTATGTTTTCCATACGAAGACATACTGGTCAAGTCGTCTGAAGCAACGCTATGGATTTATGCTGACATACTGGTCAAGTCGTCTAAAACAACGCTATGGATTACTGTGTGGTTGAACTGCTGAGGAAACATCGTCGCAGTACACTAAAAAAATTATGAAAGACGTTGCGAAGAATGGATGTGCTTTGAACATGACAGCTTTATGACGGAGCCCTTTGTAATGGATATTATATGCAGTGCTATTGTCAACATGCACGTGGCCACATGGAGTGTGACGACATGACGATGCTCCAAAATCGTTTTAATATAACATACTTAACCTGTACAACATCACCAGTCTTGATTAACGTTGATTTTATATCTGACATTCAAGAAAGCTAAGGGAAGTAATTCTCAACTTGTTCAAATATTTTGTTTTACATATCTCCAATTTTCTTGTGATAATTCATAACCTTACTGTGTTAGTGTAACGAGTATATCTATTTTTGTTACAGGACTCAAGATGGATGAAATTAATTGTTTTCTTACAATTAACACTGTGGGACAATTGTCCAGATTATGTTCTTAGAGAAAATAGCTTACAGTTACACGGAAATTAAAAATTTTGAATAAAAATTACCACTCTATATTTTATTTCCATCTGAATATGTATAAAATATTATTAAAGAAGACTATCAATAACTGCCCAAGAGGCTAATTTCTTTACATATGAATATTTTAATCACATTCGGGATGTTAGTACGTCATTAGCCTTTCATTAGACTTTGCATTCTTATGTTTTTATTTAATCCGTATTTTTGTTGTTACGAAATAATGACCAAATGTTATTTTATGAAACGAGTTAAACGGTAAAATAATGCCAATATTTAATTATTTCTTGGATAAAACACTATTAGCTTTATTGTAATATATTGGCAAAATTAGATACATTATTACTAACCTTTTATGTTAACATTCTATCACAGTCAATTATAAACAAGAAAAAATTAAGAACTTTTCTTATCTAAGGTATGGAACATACAACTAGGAATGTAATGATGGAATAAAGAGCGTTCATCTAGGAGAATTGATGGATTAGGGATCATCAACTAGGAGTGAGACGAAAGAGTTCATCTAGGACGGAAAAACTAAGATGGAGACATTCAGCTAAGAGGGTGATACCATGACTAGAAGAGTTTATCTAGGATAGCAATGCTGGGATGGGAATATTCAGTTATAAGGGTGATGCCAGGACTGAAAGAGTTTATCAGGACAGCAATGCCGGGATGGGGACATTTAGCTAGAAGAGTGATGACAGGACTACGAAAGTTTATCTAGGATAGCAATGCTGGTATGGGGACATTTAGCTAGAAGGGTATAAGGACATTCAGTTAGAAGGGTAGTGCCATGACTAAAATAATTTATCTAGGATAGCAATGCTGGGATGGGAACATTCAGCTAGTAGGGTGATGCCAGGACTAGAAAAGTTTATCTAGGAGAGCAATGCTGGGATGGGGACATTTAGCTAGAAGGGTGATGTCGGGACTACAAATGTTTATCTAGGCCAACAATGCTGGGATGGGGACATTTAACTAGAAGTATGATGACAGGACTACAAAAGTTTATCTAGGTCAACAATGCTGGGATGGGGACAATTAGCTAGAAGAGTGATGCCAGGACTACGCAAGTTTACCTAGGACAGCAATGCTGGTATAGGGACATTCAGCTAGAAGGGTGGTGCCATGACTAGAACAATTTATCTAGAATAGCAATGCTGGGATGGGAACATTCAGCTAGAAGGGTGATGCCAGTACTAGAAAAGTTTATCTAGGACAACAATGCTGAGATGGAGATATTCAGCTATAAGGGTGATGACAGGACTTCAAATGTTTATCTAGGACAGCAATTCAAGAACAGTAATGAGGAAATGAATAACCGCAAAGTAAACACCTGTATTATGAATTGTTCTATGATGTACAAAATGTTGGTTACAACTATAAAAATGAATGCTATGCACAACAATCATCTATTTATTTAAAATAGTAACGTGCGAGGGAAGGTTTTTATACTTCATTAAACTCTCCCAAAATTCTATTAAGAGTAGGGAATTACAAATGACGTTATCCTATGTGTAAGGGAGAGGTGAATGCAGATAGTACTATGCACTGTTTGGTGAAAGATATTTGGAGAATGAATCTATCATCCCTGAAAGCCTGATCTCAGGCAGCAGTGTTTATGTGTTAAGGTTTTGTATGTGAATTTCTTCATTAGTTTACAGACACTTAGAGTGCAAATACCGTCACCCTGTTGAGTTTTAATACTTGCCCCCGATAGATACCCAGGTTTTGAAAGCAATGTTGGATCTGGTATTATCTTACTACATCAGTCAATCTGTTTGCCATTTTTGGTCAGACCATTTGGCTCGAAGTGTCTTTTGTACTTGAGGAACTTAGTGACTATCGCGTGTTGTGGAATAGGTTTAACCTCGCAGTCATTAAGACACCCGTCATGGACATTAGATTCGTTTAGAACTCTACGCTTCTAAGCTCATATATGAGTAGTCTAGACGGGTCACTTAACTGTTTCAATTACTTTAATTTCATTCTCATTCCGTCTCTCTAATTTAGTCTCTTTGTCTACCAAAACTTAAAAATGTTATTATTATACAAATAATAATAACTGGAAATGATAAATAATTTTAGTGTTAATGTTTTGGATGACTTTTCTACTCTTTTTCTTAAAGTCATACTACATTTTGCATGTTTACTGTGGGCAGAAATAAAAATCAGATCTCGTAGATATGCACTTCAATTATTCGTTTATTTTTGCCTAATTAAAATCAGTAGCTACAATTTAACACTACATTCCCAGGCTCTGAGCTTTTTTTTTCAAAGCAAGTTAAATTAAATACTTTACAGCTCTAACTATTAGAAAAAGTAAATGCTTATGTTTCAGTTAAAGTCGGATAAAATAAATATATTCATTGAACGTTATTTATGCAACTCACAATGTGATATAATGTCACAGATGGTTCGTAGGGTTTTCAGTTCAATTAGGAAAACTTTACAATTTCATAGTTCTAAATTAAATTATCTTTCCCTAAGCAATCGATGGTCTTCGCTTCAAATAATTTTATCCAGGGTATTGCCTTAGTTTATTGATATTCTGAAGAAAATGTGCGACACCAAACTAAGTGTAAGTATCAGATGTTAAATCCCTGAAAGGATAAGAAACATATAATCCAGCACATCACCAAAAGTTTCACATATTTTGACACAAGTTAAAAGAGTTTAGACATTAATATTTTTGTTTTCACCTGATTGGTCTGTTGGTCCTTTCAACCGTACCCTATGTTAGGAAGGTTCAACAAAGATTAAATTTACGACAATACTTGAGCTAGCAGCAAGTGAAAGGAACAACCTATTATCTCTATAATATAACTTTCATTAACAGTAATGAGAAGAATTTTCAATTTATCTAGTTGTTTTTTTAATATCATTATGATATATTTATTATAGAAATTATTTTGGATTGTTAGCTTAGTATATGGATTTAGGACTAACCTAAATCTATTAAATTGGTAGAACATCGTGAGTTATTATTGGGTTTATGGCCAAGAATATCGTTAACAGCGAAGGTACCCAATTGAAGAAACAGTGCCTTATATTGTTTATCAGAAAGAACGTACGAAAAGGTATATTTAATTAGTTACACTCATAACCAGATTGATTTTTAATTTTACACTATTTAGTTAACTTGCTCTGGTTGGAAATTATGATTAACTACCAGGGTACATTGATTCTTAAAATTTAAATGTACGTTTTAATAAAGAGCTTACTAGAAATCAAATATTATGCCACGTCATACACGTTTGTCAATGAAAATTAGTAGCTCTTACTTGTTTCGTTCATGATGGTTCTAGGTAGAAGAAAAGTGACAGATCCTGTGCGTCATATTATACTAAAGAAACCTAAGTCGAATCTCCATAATTAATTTTATTGAACTACGCTTTAAACTTCTATATTCTATAAAGACACTTCTAGAGCTTTAGATAGGCTGGGATTGGTTTGAGAACATTCAGAATTGTGCCAGTTTTAGCCATGAGTACATAGAGAAAATTCCACTGAGTAGAGTAGCATGATGTCTCGTGATATTTGAAGTTCCTCAGTGAAGCAAATGATTCAAAACACTGATTTTTATGCAGTATATCAAACATAGATTGAAATGTATCTCTCGTGTGCATGTTTCAATAAATTTTCTAAATATACCTTTTAAACATGTAACGCAGAGCAAAACAATATAATAACTATTTCAACTCTCTCTCTCTTGTTGTCCATCAAATTCAGTCATAGGTGTCTAAGAATAATTGGTGTTCCCAAACTCTCCTAACTCAGTGCGGAACAGCGACATAGGTAGAACAAAAAATAACAACAACACATAAAACATGAAGAGAACAGTTCTATTGGCTCGATAAAAAGTCCAGTGTTAAAATATAGCACAGAAATAGCCAAACTAAGATAAAGGAGCGTGTGTACGATATGTAAAAATGAGATATTACTTTTTCTTCCGACGCATTGAACCGTTTCTGAGTTGTGCAGTAGAAATCAGAGAGTTATGAATCCATTACCACTCCCCTACTATTTCTTGAAAGTCAAATAAATGACATAGAATCCTTATATTCACAAATATTGGTGCACATAAATTTGCTATTAAGATATAAGATCGTTTTTAAGAATTGCTATTGTTATTATGGGCTTTTTCAATGGACATTTAACGAAACACTAACTTTATATGCGCTCATTCACAATAATGTTATATAACGTAACAAAAATAAAAATACTTCAAAAAGCATAGTTTTTCCGTGATGTCTTACAGCTGACTTTTTTTCTCTTTATGGCACGATATTTCCAAACATTACTCACTATATTACAACAAACGACATTTCAGTCGTAACTTACGTTTCATTTAACAGGTTTTAACTCATTGCTCAATATTTGTTTTATGTATTAAGTTACAAAAACTTATTTTGATGATTTCCTAATATTGTCAAATTTATATATATATATGTATGTTATATTTAATTAAAGCATAGCTTAATTTACCGATTAAAATACAAATAGCTCAGATACTGTGATTCACGAGATTCTTAACACCTGCCACACGAGCCTAGACAAAAAAGAAGACATTAGATCGCTGGAACAGGACCTATGAACGGACCCAAGACCTTGACATGGAAAATTTAACTTGTAAATATAAAGTAAAACGATGTAGCAATGAAACATATTTGAAATGTCCTATATGTAGTTATGAATGCAATGGTTTAACTGTCGCGATTAAGCTAAACCATGGGTCTAGGTTAGATGAGGGAAGAACTTATTCAAAGATATCCCAATCGATCTGATATACCACCTGAATGGGAGATTCGTCAGTTGATTACTGCAATGACAGCGAAACACAAGAAAACGGGCACAATAGTATCGTTAGCTTCAAAATGGGGAGTGGCATAATACATAGGAAATAATTAGTTTCAATATTTTAGTAATTAACGGGACAGTATAGCCCAAAGATGCAATGCTGAGTTTGAAGCAGATGCACGATGCATTACAAGATGACTTCTCTAGGTCACATATGCAATGAATAGTAAACGTAAGAAGGGTGTAATCTATATAGATTTCATCATGCCGTATTTTAATTAATACTTATATTTTTGTTGTTCTATTTCGTTTTCAAAGCTGTGCAGAGCTTCATTTATCGAGATCTATTGAAATCACCGGCTTCCACATGGCCAGGTTCGCTTGTTTCTAGGAGGTCCATATTAATGAAAACATTATTTTATATTATGTATTTTATTTTAGGGAAAGATAATAAAAATAAAGATAAATCTGAAAAAAATGTTGATGTTTAAATTATAATTGAGAATTTTTCAAGAAATCATGAAATACCATTGTTGATATTACTTTGACTATACCCTTGAATTACAATACCAACACCAAAAGTGGCAATGTCATACAACAGCCATTCATTTTTCTAGCTAATCTATTATTATATGTTTTGGTCAATCTGCTTCCAGTTTTTATAGTAAATAATCTTCAAAACTTAACTATTCAAAACGGCGAAGATATTATGGCCAAGTCATATAGTTCGTCTCAAACCTATGAAAGAATGATGAAGGACTCAGTTTAAATGCCTTATTCAAATATTCTCCATCAACGTCTTATCATTGAAATATTATTATAGGTTTTACCAGTTCGCTGAATCTTCAACATGCTAGTTTCATCTTGTTGTATTTACCCAAAATGGTAATAATGTAACCCAACTATTTATTTATATATACAAAAAAATTATAATTATCTATAGTATTAATACATACTGAACGAAATGTGTTTTTATTACTGTGTAAAACAAGTCTCTACCATTTTGAATTTCCTGTTTTATCGCTCAAAACACAAGGCTAGTGCTCATAGTTGTCCCTAATTTTGAACTGATAGACTAGAGGGAAGGCAGCTAATCAACAACACCCATCGCCAACTCTTCGACTACTTTTGTCTAAAAAAAAACAGATTTCGAACATGCTAGCTCTTAGGCTATGCCCGATCCAGTTTTTTTTTCAAAATTACTCGTATTTGTCATATACAATCACAATAAAATGAAACTGGATATAATGACGACAACGTAAAGTAAGTTTTTTTGAAATGAAGTTAAGAATATGATTTTTTAAGGGGGATCTAAGTATCAAATGAATATATTAGTAGATCAACGACAGCTAGTAGGCAACTAAAGCATTATTTCGTTAAAAACTCGACAATTCTAAAAGTATAACTACTTTTCTAACTTTTCCATTATATATCTGGTATTGTATTTTATATTTATGGCAAAGTTACTAAGATTATCTGTCGCCGTCCTTAATTTGGAATACTGAACACATTGAAGAAATCCAGTGGTTGGCACCCTACCATCCACTTTGAGGAATTGAGTTACCTCCAGCTTAGAGTGTAGTTAATATGTTGTGGTATCGCACGCATTCGAACCCAATTCACTAACTCTGAAATTCAGAGCTCTACTACAGGGTCAACCTGCAGCTCAAGTAAGTATGGAATTTTATTATATTTTCATATTTAAAATCGCTTTGCATATAATTCGTCCCTTACTTTTTTGGCCACAGAACGGCTCTGAGATTTTTTTTATTTTTCAAGCACAAACGTTTAGTTCATAACTCCGTCATCTCTTGACCGATTTCAGATTCAATTACAATTTTGGACTGAGGAGGTCAAGCCCTTTCGATTGATGTATTTAACCACGCTCAAGGTCTCATAGATTGATTTATTTAATCCTGCCTAAAAGAATTTCAAGTGCCGCGGCTATTGAGGATTCCCTCTTGTTATATTCACATAACCACTTGTTGTTGAAAAGCGTGATCATTATTGTTTCATCGGGCAATTAGCTAAAAATATTTTAAATATCTAACCACTAATAAATATTTTATGAGTGTTTTATACTTTTGGCTGGTTTATATGTATATATATATATTAATTAATTAATTTTACTCCAATTATTGTAGAATTAATTACTTAAGATTTGCGCCAGTGTACATTGTCATAATTTAATAACGCAAACACTATATATATTTTTTGACTGCCTTAAAATGTGAATTGTCCCGTAAACTACACCAAAGTTTATGTAAGTTGCTATTTATTGCACGGCAGCTAAGGTTCAGCTAAGCTATATATCACCCACAACAAACTGTGTTCATCGATCTGTGGGATGTATTTCCATACCATCAATCCAACACTGTATTATAATGTGTAACAGACCGCCTTGGCTACCAAACCTCGTTAAACATATCGAACTTCACACACCAACGTTATTTATTACCATACTTACACGACGTGTTTATGTATGTAAATATATTGACATTAAAAAATATATATGTGATAAAACTTAACTCTGGTTTTACGTTATCGCAATATGTGTAAACTCGAGCATCATTACTGGCCTATTTAAGCAGAAGGTTGAGCTGCAACATATCATTAGCAAAGTCCAAGAGAGCTTTTCTTTCGTTTTTCACATAAGATTAATGATGTAACTGTATTAGTCAGGGAGATATATTAACAACATTATACGACAAGGAATCCTTTCGTAACACAAGATGTCTTTATAAAATTGAATATAATACATTTATTTTCCCTTTAACAAAAATAACAAAATACATTCACTTCTCACCAGATACTAAAAATCTCAAAGCATAACATCTTTAATTTAAGGACATCGGCTTAGGATATGAATGCACAATCAACCTACCTTCAGATTTTTCTGGTGTTCTGAGTGTGTCGACATTTTTTATCCATGGTCCACTTCTTCCCTTAGCATTCACTGCATACAATATAATACGAAAATTTGTATTTTGCGGAAGTCTTACAATTGAGAATTCTGGTTTCTTGTCAGTAAGGTTTGTGTGTATTTTCTCTGCGTTTTTTTCGTACAATTCAAGCACAAAATGTTGACTCAAGCCACCGTTATAGCCTTCCAGGCAGCCAATACTTATAAAATCTGTTGTAACGTTGCTAACTGTACAGTTAACTGGCGTTTCCGGAGGCCCTGTAGATGATTCAATGACATATAGGTTTAAATTATTTTATCTATCACCATTAATAAAAGAGAAATATTATTCACTATACATAATAAAATAATGAAGATATTAATGTGTATTTACTCCATATTTCAATAAGCAAAAAATGTCCAATTATTAAAATAAAGCAATTATTTCACTGATTTAAAGTTTCTAATCATCTTCTTGACAGTTTTCAGGAGATTATTAACATTAGAAACTGTGAACGCATGTAGCAGGATTGTGTTCATTCTGGAAATGTTTTGCGATTTTTACACACCAATAATTTATGTATCACGGACGTACAGAAATGATAAAACGTAATATGATGTTATCTATAGAGTTTTAACAAGTTTAGTTTTATGTAACCTATCTAAATGCTTCCAACAGCTTGCTACATAATCATCTCTTAGGGTTTTAGGATATAACTATGCTAACATTCACCTTGCTGTGGCAATGCGTTACTACTCTACAAGAAAACAACCTTTGAAGAAATAGTAAAAATGTTTAGTGTTTCAAGTGCTTAGCTAGAAATAGAATTACCCACGTTATGAATATCTTATTATCTACAATTATTAGAGTTTTAATTCGGTCAAATGTATGTTCTCAGATGTGAATTTGGTAATTTCTGTTATAGAAATAACTTACCCTTAACAAAGCTTTATCTTAAATGATTAAAATGTGATTTTAACTTGTAGCTACGCCCATAATCTGTAGCGCTTAAGATAAGATTCTGTCAAAATTGCAATGTTAAAAAGAACCCTCACCTGCAGCAGTAATATTAAAGAAGCACGGTTTTCTCTGGATCCCGACTTTATTATTTCCCCAGCAAGCCAGCGTACCGTAGTCATCCTGATTCTGCGGGATGAAACTTGCTACGCTCTTTGTTAAGTCGTCCTTAAACGTTAACACTTCTCGGCTTCCATGGGAATTGTTAAACATCCATCGAAACGTTACTTGCACTGGATCCGCATCGACTTCGCACAATACTCGCACCGTTTCATGCACTGCTGTCCCATACACAGCCCTCTGGCTCGGTATACAAACTGGTTCAACTGAAAAAACAGTAATTGGAAACATAGTTTTCATAATGATGAGGTAGATTTATTAAAAGGCTAGTTGATGCTTCTCAATGAGCACATTAATTTTAAACACTAACTACAAATAATATCTAAATATATATATATGTGTGTGTGTGTGTTGGTAGTTTTGGTTGGATAAATGGCCAGATCAGATACTCCAAGATTCAGACATAGCCATCTCTAGTTTCTAAAGACTGAGCTGAGGGAAACAAACAGCCACCAAGACTCACCAAATATTAGAGATCATACCTTAGACATATTAATCCACAGCCGAGTACCCTGAACATTATGGCATTTCTGATCATAATGATAACACAAAAACATATCTCCAGTAATCTTGTAGAACAAGGATGTGCTTCTTTGTCTGAAAAATTGCACATTATCAAATATTATATAGTGCGTCTCACTATATGAAACAAACAAACAGCAGGTTACAATTCTTATTTTCAATGCTAATATTACGTTCTTTATTAATCATTTTTCATTTTAGTATCGTTTCTAAGGTATGCATTCCACGGTAATATCAGTGATTAAGAGAATATAAGTAAAAAATGACTATTTTTGCGTATTTTACAAATAATATTATTCTATAGTTAATATGAATTCCTCGCCGTAATTTACGAAAGCACATCAGGTGGCTTGCAACATTTGAGTTGCTGACCTAAAAAGCCAGTCAACAAATCGTATGAATGTTGCCTAGTTGTCAAGGCCGTTGCCAAGGATGGGTTACGTCACAGCAGAACTTTCCAGACGACAGTTTTTTGCAGCACAATGAAGGCACGCTGATTCATTTAGGATTGAATACAAACAACATACTCAAGCCTATAACATGAATGTGGACATAGCTTATGACGTATGGCTTCAATTACCCACAGATGCACAGTCTCGTTGAAAAAACGGATTGTAAGGGTACTAAAAACATAATCAAAGGAGCTGTAAAATTATTCGAGGAATACTGCACAGCAGGAACAATGACTGTGGATGATAGCGTCGGAAATCTCGCCAGCATTTTAGGTAATTTCTATGCGAAGATAGACAGTTGGCTAGTTTATACGTTTTCTGTCATTTGTATACAGTATACATGTGAAGATCTTTTTTTTGATCTTATATTCAGTGATATATTTATTGAGTTTGTGAAGCCCAATCCTCAATTAAGTTAATTATTTCTCATATAAGCATTATAACAATCTACAAAATGGGCCTGTACCCTTGATAACCATGTTACAAGTAGTTACATATATAGACGAACAGGCGTGCATGTTGAAATTTCATATATTGAGACTCTAAGGTATTGTTTAACGATGATAATAATAGTAATAATAATAATACGGATAAATATCATTTATTTAATAGTGATTCTTATAATGAGATCAAAGTCTTCAATAGATATTAAATTTTAAGATTTACATGTAACCACATGGATCTATGCTAAATATACTATGAGATACTAATTAATCAGATTTTAGCAAAACTGAAAACAGGAGGGGGAGTAGAATAAAACAGTTATTGACTGGTTATAAGGACAACAGATGATTTGTTGGACGAGACAACGAGAGTGGCCTGCATATGTCTCACGAGGACGAAAGGAACAGGAGTTGGTCACTTTCACAGGGAGAAAAACAAATTGTCCTCATAACCAGTTGATAATTGTTTTATTCTACTCCTCCACATTCTGTTTTCACTTCGAAAGCAAAATGTAATTTGTCTGATATGTCTAATACTCCCCAATAACCACATATGGTTCTTACAGTAGATCTTAAATAACGACGCTTTCAAACCCCCCCTGTTGTCATGCCAACAATTAGACAGTGTGTGACTGAACCTACAACAATACCTTTGTTTTTCAGTATATATAGTTTATAATATAGTTTACTATTTCGTACTACCTAATAAAGTTATATAGTTTACCATTTTATACTACCTAATAAAGTTATATAGTTTACTATTTCATACTACCTAATAAAATAATATAGTTTACTATTTCATACTACATAATAAAGTTATATAGTTTACTATTTCGTACTACCTAATAAAGTTATATAGTTTACTATTTCATAATACATAATAAAGTTATATAGTTTACCATTTTATACTACCTAATAAAGTTATTAGTTTACTATTTTATACTACCTAATAAAGTTATATAGTTTACTATTTCATAATACATAATAAAGTTATACAGTTTACTATTTCATACAATTTAATAAAGTAATATAGTTTACTATTTCATACTACATAATAAAGTAATATAATTTACTATTTCATACTATCTAATAAAGTAATATCGTTTACTATTTCATACTACATTATAAAGTAATATAATTTACTATTTAATACTACATAATAAAGTAATATAGTTTACTATTTCATACTACATGATAAAGTAATATAGTTTAATATTTCATAATACATAATAAAGTAATACAATTTACTATTTCATAATACATAATAAAGTAATATAATTTACTATATCATACTACCTAATAAAGTGCAAATTACTTTTGTAAAAAGTGTTTAATAAACAAAGACTTATAACAAACCATAAACTTAGAAGAACATTTGTTTTTATATTAACATTGTTTATTTGTTGGTTCAGTACTAAACGTTATCTCTCTCCAATGAGAAATATTACGAGATAATACAGTATTTGGTTATCAGGAGCCTTCTCCATGCACAAACAAGTTAGCATATATCTTTTATCACTTTTTATCTTCTTATGTTTTATTAAAATACGGACTTTTTTCAAACTGAAGAGAAAATCTTCATTCTCAAGATTTTATATGTAATGGAAGAGACTGTTCTTAATTCACCTTCTACTGTTAAAACATCCACCAGAGTAATAAAATTTTGCACATGTTCCGGCCATCTTTAATGAACAGCACACTCATATAATGCAGTTTTACTTGTTTAAAACCTAATGTTGAGTTTTCTGTAATAGGAAAACTCCAAAAATAAATGTTAGTTTTCCAGTTATGACATAACTAAAATGACCATGACCGTCTCCCAAATAACTTAAATATCTAGAGAATTATAAGAAAAGCATCTGACTTATGAGGATTAAATAAGACAAATTTCAAAGATATTGCATTTTCCTTAAACATTGAAACTGAAGAATCTACATTCACTAATCATCGTCTAAATAATGTTATTTAATTAAAGTGTAAAATAACTACATGATGATTTTAAAGCACGACAAACTTTTGGAAGTTTACAGTTTATTTCTGTATAATTGTCCTTAATTCATTAATTATAAAATGTTTTGATAGGTTATTTTGCCTTTTTTTTTAAAGGGACTAAAGATAAGTGCTAAACGTTTGTAACTCAATTCAGAATACTAATATAATTTAAAAAAAGCTTACAGATGTATTTCGTGTTTGTGTGAGGGTGTGTGTGTGTTTAATCAGAAAATATATCTAGTTTAGATCCTGTAATTCAGTTAATCCACACAATTTATTGAAGAAGATTGCCTTTTCACATACATTGTACACGAAGATCAATAGGATCACTTTCTCCATAACCCTCGATGTTCATAGCTCTACAAATGTAGCGACCTCTCTTCGAACGGTCGACCTTTTGGAGAACCAATGTGTAATTACTTATAATTATGCCAGTAGACTTATCGGTATGGAGTTCCTTGTCTTCGAAAAGCCAGTGGAAAGCAGTCACCCACGGATTAGCTTGAATTTTACAGTCGAAGAATATGTCGTGTCCCTTTTTTACTATAGGGTTCTTCACGTCACCTGAACTGTTAATACTAATGCGTGGAGCGTCTGAAACAGCGGTTATTAAATTAGTATTAGTCAAAACAGAATATTTCTAATTACAAACCTTAAATAAACACGTAATTTGAGGTTAAGAAAGAGGATCATCCTATGTATACTGAAGTAATTATATAAGATATTTACACAATTGTTCATACAAATTAATTCTTATTTACTATCTTTGTTAAAGTTTTAGATATAAGCTCGAAATATAATATTGAATTCGTTGCCTGAAATATGTAATATAGAACATTTTACTGGAATTTAGTTATTACCATGACTTAAAAATAGATTAAAATATGTCACTGATTAATTATCCTGCAATGAAGATTTAAAGTTTTCTAAACTTCTAATTATAACCAACGGCATTACATTCATTTAATGAGAAAACACATAAAACATGCTCTCAAATAATAAATAAACTGATATAGTTCTAACAAGTACAAATTAATTCAACCAAACCAAACAGATATGCTTGAAAACAAAGGATTCAGATCAACACCTCGGCACTTAGATAAGACAGTAATGAGATAGATATTTCTACAAGTGGTGTTTGAGTTGGGAATATCAACCTGTATATGTCATATACAGGTTATCTATAAGTACGTTTTATATAATGCACCCTCCTTGTACAGTTGAAAATGTTTCTTGTATAATCGGACAATATTTCACGTACGAGATAAATAACGTTTCGAAGTAAGGAAACGTAAAGACTTCAGAGTGAATTACAACTTTGAAATGTCAATCGCTGAGTGCGTTATTTTAAAATGTTGTGGAATTTTGAATATATCTTATGATAAATTCTGTATTTTAAAATTCTGCTGCGAAAACTCAATATACGCTTAGTATAAGTATCAAAACATAATTTAGTTTTCAGATCCAAAATATGATGTAAACAAGTGGAAGATGTTGCTTCATCAAAGCTCGAATATCTTCCTTTTTTTTTAAGATAAACGAGAGAATCGATAAACAGTCTATATAATCAGGTTTCAGGAGAAAACTGGCAGAGAAGCCACAGGAAGACAAATGTGCGGTCAATGACGTTTACTCAATGGTGTGTTTAAAAGAAAATAGAAAAATGGTTGTTTGCAAGTACTATTTGTTTGTAGATACCATTTTTTATTTTAGTGTTATATTTGATTATATTTCTCTATGCATTGGAAAAATATAAACACGCAAACCTTATTTTGCAAAATGTTTTTAAGAAATAAATCAACTGATGTACAATATAATAATGGTTGGAGACGGTTTGAATGGGTAATGAGGAAAAACCTTAATATAAGTTTAACATAACAGTAAATGTACAACGTTTCGACAAAGTCTTGTCATCATCATTTGCTGTTATGTTTAACTTATATTAAAGTTTTTCCTCATTACCCATTCAAGCCGTCTCCAACCATTATTAGTCTCAATGTGGGTTTCTCATCATCGAATTTGATGTATAATATGACTTAACTGTAACTAAAGTTGTTTTTCTTTACAGAAAATGAAATTAGCGTTACATCAAGAAAAGTATGCGTTTTTGTGTCAGTTAAATCAAATGATTAATATTTTATAAAAATTCAGAAACTATGTTGTTCAAAATGACCTTTGGGTTCTTCAGCCTGGTGAGGTTTTTATTCATACATCCCCTTTATTTTAATTTTTATCAAATAACAATGCTGGAGTGCAAAGGTAAAAATTAGAAGTAATGATACAATATACAGCAGAACAATTACTCTAACATTAGTTGTGCTTCATTAGGTAGCATCTCTTGTGCTCATTCCATATAATATGATGAGAGATTACAATGCTCTAAACTAATGTCCTTGCTCATCATTCAGTAGGTTGCAACTCTTGTGATCATCCTAGATGACCTGATGAAAAATTACAATGCTCGAAACTGATATCCTTGCTCATCATTCAGTAGGATCAGTTTCGAGCATTGTAATTTTTCATCAGGTCATCTAGAATGATCACAAGAGTTGCAAGTCCTTGCTCATCATTCAGTAGGTTGCAACTCTTGTGATCATTCCAGATAATATGATGAGAGATTACAATGCTCTAAACTGATGTCCTTGCTCATCATTCAGTAGGTTGCAACTCTTGTGATTATCCTAGATGACCTGATGAAAAATTACAATGCTCGAAACTGATATCCTTGCTCATCATGTCAAGAGTTTTGATGTTATACGATGCGTCTTTCGTGGAAGTAAAAATAAATGTATGAATGTTTTCTCAAATTTGTATTTGACTTGAAGTTTTCGATGCTAACATTTGTAACTTATAAGTAAATTTAAGGTTCTATTCATCATTGAAAGAAGAAAGACTAACCTTTTCCCCCATGATGGTGATGTTTCATGGGTTCCATGCAGTACACGTGAACTTTGTTTACTTTGTTTTATTGTTGTTTTTTTTAAGTTTCTTCAAGTTCCTTTGAGATAAAAGCTAATTTGAACCTATGGTTTTTGTTTTTAGAATTAAAAATTAAATCCAGTCTAGGGTTAAAATATTTTTTATTAATGGTGTGTGTTAATTTTAAGTTTTAGAAGTATATCAACTTTTTTGAAATGTACAGAAAGTGAAATCTGGGGACGTATATGATATCTAATTCATCTTAATTTTATCCACACAAGGACTATATGAGCATAGTTTGATCTGGTAGACTAAACTTTTCAACCGGTAACCCTTCGATCCTCTTGTCTGACCGAATAGCAAGAACTGATTGTTAATGTTATAGCGCATCTACGAGTTCTAAGTACGGAGAATGGGGATTTCGGCAACGACCTGTCCTCTGTCATGAAGAAAACAATTTGTATGCAAATACTGGAATGACAATAATAATAACGTAAAATTTTAAAAGGGAAACTAAAAAGTAATAAGACAAAATTATTTTATTTCTGTAGTGCATATTGGTGTATAGAAAACATATTAACACTAGAAATAAACGACCTTATAACACTAAAATGTTGTTTTTATTTAATTAGACACTGAACATTTCGCTTTACAGCTTCTTCAAACCGAAACTGACAGTACAAATTATCGTATAAGGTCGTTTATTTCTAGTATTAATAAGACCAACATGTGTGGTTCGTGACTTAATTGGTACTTAGAAGAAAAAAAGATAGAAATGAAATTATAATTAATATTATTTTAGGAAAAAAAAACAATAACGTTTCATAATTTACCCTCATATTACGTACAATGAACATTTAGAATCCTCCGTTCCTTTAATATGCTATCCTTTATTAGAGGATTCTGAGCTTTACAGGTTAGGATTTTCTCGTTATCCAGAACAGATGGTTTGAACGTCAATACACTTGTGGTGACATTTCCATCTACTGAAACCGTCATCTTGGTTGTCTTTAATTCTGTTTCCTCTTGCCACCAAGTCACAATAGCAGACGGTCGTGAACCAACTGCTTGACATTCCAACTTGGTCGTCTTTCCAGCTGACAGAGTCTCGGGTTCTTTGGTAATCGTGAGTACCAGCGGTCTAACTAAGAAGCAATGGCAGTGTTGTTGTTTATTAAAAAAAAGCTAGTAATGCGTTATCAATTCATTGACAAAAACATAGAAAATAGACTGAATTAGATTCTTTATTAATTTTACAAAATTAATTCTTTAATTAGATATTTCTTCAATCCTTTAAAACAAGTTAGTGCTTTAACGTTAAAATGTCTTATAATTATCATATGGTGTAACTTGATAAATATTATAGGATGTTTTACTCAAAAGGTATGAGTATGTTTAAAAAATATTAATTTAGTTAAGTTGATCAGGTTTATTTAATATATTATAGGATGTTTTATTCATCAGATATGAGTTGTGTTTAAAACATTGCATGTATTTCTATATAAGTAATAACCAAATCCTGGAAGATGGGCCTATATCAAAGGACCTGTTATAGTTCATGTTTAAAGCTCAATATACATAACAAAATTAAATAAACCTGATCAACTTAACTAAAGTAATATTTTTTAAACACTACTCATACCTGTTGAGTAAGACATCCTATTAATACATGTGATAAGCCTGATCAACTTAACTAATTTAACGTATTTGGAAGGGATGCACAAAATCGGTTATCTTTCATATCATTTGAAAAGGATTCCTTTCACTCATCTCAGTGGATTTAATGAGTATCTGCCTTCCGTTTTTTAACCGTTGGCTTTCAAGTAAGTAGTGTCCGTCGTAAAAAAGAAAGAAATACTAAAAAGACTATTGGGATTGATGCATGCTGAACCAAAGGAAAAGTTATAAATTAAACTTTCCTGCAGTTAGGAAGTTCTGTTTTGCTGACTTAACTAAATTACAAATAAGCGAAGTTAAGCATGTTTCAGGGAGATGAAATAATATCTTATGAAAGCTAAGACAAAATCATATGAATGAAAAAGATATATATCTTGTCGCAATTTGAATTTACATAAATAGAATATGAGCTCATAACATATAGTTATTGTTAGTGTTTATAAAGTGTGACAATATTTCTTAGTGTTTGCAGACACAAGTTGCTATAAATAGACGAAAAGTTTCTTTAAACGTTATAAAACAATCAGTAGTTAATACGCTGAGCTAAACTTGTTAATCTTCAGTTGTTGTTGTTGTTTTTTTTGTCATAATTGGCTCTTGTTAAGATTTTTAAGTAATTTGATTAGAAGACCATGTCACATATAGGGCGTACTCCAAGATACTTGACTGGTTTCAACGTTCCTAAATTCCCATGTTCTTTCGCACGCATAATCAGCTTTCTTATAGGAGAATCAATGTAACAGGTCACCTTTCTTCAATAAAAAAATCAAAAGTACTTCGTCAGTTTTCCTGTTCTTGTTGCAAGCAAACTTACATTGATTATAAACTTGCTTACAACAAGAACAGGTAAATTGATGAAGTACCTTTGATTTTTTTTCAATGAGGAAATGCGATCTTTGTATTCAAGGAAACAGTTGATATTACATCATTGTTTTAAAATGTATCTCAGTTGTTTATGCAATTCGTAGGGTGTGTGGTTGCTTTATAACACACAAATAATGATTACCGATATATGGCAAGGTTATACAGTCCGAACATAAAGAACTTCGTACACTGATTCTTTACTAAAGTTTCGTTTGTTCAGATAATCACGAAATATTTGTATTTCCTCAAAAGTAAAGATCGCATTTCTTCATTGAAAACATCAAATGTAGTTTATAAATTTACTTATCCTTGTTGTAAGCAATATTACATCGGTTCTCCTACAACAAAACTACCGCAGCGCGTGAAATATCATGGAAACTTAAGAATGCCGAATAAATGAAGTGTATTAATGGAGTATACCCTAGGTGGGTGTGATAAAGTTGTCCATTCAAAATATTTAAATCCTTAACAAGGGTTAGTGATGAACAAACCATCTTATATAAGAGAGATTAGTCATTCACAACCTAAGGTCGAAATTCAACCAAATTAGTTCAGTTTATTAATCGCGGCTTGTTTTATGTCTTTCAAATCACACATTCTTAGACATTTCAACCGGATCACCAAAATAACTGTATATTTATTCTACCTTACGATACTTTATCCATAAATGTTTGTATTATATATTGAATAATAGATGTCGCTACTATATTTACTAAATTTCTTACTATTATTATCTAAGTTCTTTTCAAACCGATTTGACTTGCAATATTGTCGAGGTCTAGAGTTAAGTGTTTTAAGAAAAACACGGTCTATCAAAACTACTCACAATTCATGTCTACTGTAACGGTTGAAGATATAGGTAAACTTTGGTTGTAATTGGAAGCGCAACAGCTGAAAGCCGCCATCAGGTCATGTCGCTCTAAGGTTAGAATAAGAAGCTCATTCGAAACTGTTCCTGTCTCAGTCATGTTGTAGGTGTTGTCCAAAAGAACGGATTCTCTCCACCAGGTCACCTCTGGTGAAGGATCTCCTGCCAGTAACCAATCAAACCAATTATGTAAATTTCGATCTTCAAACTCAATCAACTCTTATCTTAGTGGTTTGTCTTAATTGATTCATAACGGTATTAGACTTAATAAAAGTAATTGCAGAATGATTACAGGGTTGAGTACGTTATATTAAAATGCTTTTCAATATCCAAATTAGCAAGTCACATGACAACCATAACTGATATAAACGCACGGTGAAGCGACATGTATCAAAACTACATTTTGACATTGTTTGAGGTGTGTGCAAATTGTGTGTGCCACCGTAATTGATCGTTTTTCGGAAAGATATGTAATAGTCCTTTCCAACACAAAATATACATACACTCGAATCATAAAGATGTGTTCAGATCGGGATATCACTTGTATTTAATGGTACTAGGAAACAAAGAACTGTGGATCAGTGTGGAGCACCAGGACCGCCCAGAAAGAGTCATGCAAGAAACCATATCCCAGGCGTCCAAAGCAAGATGCGGCGTCTTGAAACAGATGAGGACCTAAGAACACGAAAGTCATACATGTGCCTTAGGAAGTTTCTTCGTCTAGAAAGCAACAAAATTCAGAGCCACACAAGATGCTTCCACGACGTATCAGTTCAACCTTCGCATATCTCAAGCAGCTAGAGAACGAAACTAGTGTCCGTGTTAATCCATATTAGTACATACAGAGCAAGTAGAGTTCTGCGACCGAACTGTTGAAACGGGTAATGGGAAACCATTTTCTTTGCACACTAATTGCATTATGGAAGGTATTATAGAGGGGAGTGACCTTTGAACATGGCAGTCTTATGACCAAGCCTTCTCCAATGAAAACTAGGACAAGACCCATGACCAAACGTAGCGACATGGACTGTAATGACACGTTGAGGCTCCAACATCGTTTTAATGAAAGGTACTCAACCTCTGTATTCATTAAACTATTAATATTGACTACTGTTTTTAAAAAAATATTCGTTTTTAAATTTAACTTAACATCTTGGTGTTGAACTAGGAATAAGGAAGACAATTACTGAGCCTATTCAAGCAAGGCAAAACTAGCTTCTACGATGCCCAGTTGTTATCCTCTGTTATTACAACTCCATGCTGAAAGAAGCTACTTTCTGGGGCTATGATCAGCTTTGTAATAGATATGAATATGTTAGCTTGTATATCTTGAAAAAATTATAGTTTCCTACAATAAGTTATGAACGTTGAGAGGCAGGTTTCATTTATGCACTTATACACAAAACTGTTAACTCAAAACTCGAGTTTTAAACGTCATTCCAAACAAGAAAATCCTAAACACTAGTTCAAAATTTAATTCAACATGCTGGTTGTTGTTTTCTGTGATGTAAACAAACAAAACATTAGATGAATATTTGAACCCATTTGAATATGAAAAGACAATAAACATAGACTTAAACAGCCTGTTGTCTATTTTACAGGATCTGAACTGCATAATACTCCATTCATCATTGCAAGTCCTGTGAAACAGGTTCAAGTTTTATCGGGCTGTTTAAATCAATTTCTTACAGGACCTGAGATCTATTCAATAATTCCCCTACAATTACAGATCCATGTTTCAACGAGCTGTTTAAGTCCATATTTTACAGGACCTGAGATCTACCTAGTAGTTTAACTATAGATCCTATAAAATAGATTAAATTTTAACAAACTGTTTCAGACTATATTTTACAGGACCTACTACAAATCCTGTGAAACAGATCTTAGTTTCAACAAGCTGTTTCTGATAATTTTTTACAGGATCTGAGATTTACCCAATAGTTATTATGGAACTATATATATTTTGTGAAGCAGATCCAAGTTTCAACAGGCTGTTTCAGTCCACATTTATAGTCTCCTAATCATGAACGCGCAGCCTATCAGAAAACCACTCATGTGGTAGGTAATTAGTCGCAGTTTTCAAATATTTTTATGAAATACCTTAATAAAATTTGTTTTCCCTTTCAAAGTTATCAGAAAGACTCAAAGTTGAGAAACCATGTTTATCAAAATCATTTGGATACTGCATGAACTTATATAAAATAAAACGGATTTTGCATAGGTTGTGAAGATATCTAATTAGAAAAATTGGTCTATAAGTTTAACAATATCAACCTTGTAGTACAAATACCTAATTTTCAATGCAAACAATATAATTTATTCTAGGAAAAATTTCAAAGGAAATAATAATTACCTCCAAGAACATCACAAAACAGCTGTAAAGATTCTCCTTCATTGTACGGTCCAATAAGACTTCTCAGTACTTTTCCATTTTGATCTCTAATCACGGGCTTTTGGGGCGTCACTAAGGGCATGGGAAAAACAAAACAACTTCTCAGCACATTTAAAATAACACATCTTTATCTAAATAAAATAAAAATATTTACTTTTCTGTTGTTTTTTTGTTGCAATTAATTAATTTGTTTGTTATTAAGAACAAAGGTACACAGTGGATTAGTTATACTATCACAACCGCGATAATCGAAACGTGAATTTTAACGTTATAACCCTCAAGCTTCCCGTTGAGCCAGTCTGGAGGACAATTGATTTCTAACTAGCGTTACGTTTTGTTTGTGTTTATTAGACTATTGTCGTATGTTGATATAAACTTGTCTGTGGTGAACATAATACACAATAAAGTAAATTCTTAATATAAAGGCGTTTTAATAGACTTTTTACAATGTATTGAAGCTATAACTTTGTCATTTTCTTAAGGGAATAATATTTTTTTTCACACACAATAAAATGATGTTAATAGAAGGACAGAAATTAAGCAAATTGAGAACATAAAATATAAAGTTTATAATTTACGCTCATTTTTAAATATATGAATACCTTTCATTGTATACCAATTTTATTCGTCATAATTCATTGTTTTGACGTATATAGCTATTTGTATCAATATTATATTGACTATTGTATACACTGATTTCCTTAACCTTTGTTTGCCTTTAGCCCTCGGTGAAGTCATACATCACTGTCACATTTTTCTGGGATATATAGCCTGCTTCAATTCGAAGTAGGTGAGAAAGAAAACATGATTCTTTCTCGTCATAGAACATATCACTCGTAGTCTGAAGAAGGCAATAATGAAGGCAAAGCACTTAAAATACGCCAACCTCTCATAACTCAGTTAGTTATTCTAACATTATAAAATCTGCACAGATATGCTTGGATTAATAGACAAAAATAAGACCGTTAGCCATCTAATAAAACAGTTGCTAACTTTAAAAAAGCAATATGCAGATAAAATGTATATGTATATATATAATATATTCGTCATATAATATTGTTTACTTACGAAAAGCTAATTAATCCAATATAATATAATAAGTATAATATACATTTAAGTTTATTCTTATTATCTCATACATTTTTATAACTAATACATATCATATTATGATACAGATGCGAGGTTAAAAATTAGTATATTTTTATGCAAACTTATAAAACAGTTATCCATTAGTGAAACATGAACATCATTTCGAGTTTTTAAGTATTTTACACTCACAAAAAAGAAACCTATCATTCTATAGGTAGTTGAAGAACTTGTAGCTAGGCAGCTGATACAAACATAGTTGAACTAGTTGTTTAAACATTTGTTTAACAACAAGTAAAAGATTGGAATGTTCTATTCTTTCAGGGGGGTGGGTGTCTGTAGGCCAGACTAGTTTCGGAGATTTCCACTTCTCATCACTGAATCTGGACACTACCACCGAATGAAACTTCAGACCAAACTAAACCTTTACTGTTGTGAGGTATCGAAAATCGGAATGTCGTTTTTAAGTATTTTAAACTCACAAAAAAGAGACCTGTCATTCTATAGGTATTTCAAAAACTTGTAGCATTCCGCCACAATTTAATTCTTCGTATTGTTAGCCGACACTAGGCAGCTGGTACATACATAGTTGAACTAGTTGTTTAAACATAGTCTGGCCCACAGACACACCCCCAATGAAAGAATAGACCATTCCAAGCTTTTACTTGTTGTAAATGTTTAACAACGAGTTCAACTATAAACATCATTTGTTTAATCTTGAGTTTCTTTAAGAAAAGACACATACAATTTTTACTAGTTTATCCATCACTATTTAATGATGAAAATACGTTTTTTTATTAGTTTTTTTTATAATTCTGTTTATTTCTTCTCAACAGACATTCATTAGTTTGTTTAAGGAAAAAGACTGTAACCACTGACCACTGACCAATAACCTTCAGAACACTGTCGGTGTAACGAGTCCTGGCTCGATTAAAATCCGCTCGACAACGATATGATCCTTGGTCACTACTGTTTAGTGATCTAAACCTCAAGACGGCTGGTTCTGTGTCAGTGGCAAAGTAAACGCGTGTAACTTTGTAAATAGACGCGTGTAGAGCTCGACTAAGAGATCCTCTCCTGGCGTCGAGAGTGTAGATCGGTGTGGTGATGTTATCCTTGTACCAGAAGACCAGAGTAGGAATGTCTTCTTCGGGAATAGCTGTTATATTACATGGTATTTCTACCTTTTCTCCTTCCAGTCCTATCACAGTAACTGAAAGGAAAGTAAAAAGTTATTATTCTTACTACGTTAATAAAGTGACGAATGTAATTATATTAAATAAGAACACTTTAAATCCACGATATACAATTTTTGTTTTTTTCCTGCTTACATGGCGATTCTAGAAGAGGTATTGTTCCACTTACTAGATACTTTGTTTCCTCATGATAAGCCCTTTAACTACGTCATCTACTTCTATTTTGTTTCTAGGAAGCTTAAACTAATTGACTATGAACCGTACTTAGTCGGTTGAGGTAAACCAACAACAGGAATAACCTAAAGACTGGCTTTGGTAACATTCACAATCAGTCAAAATCCCAGATAAACTTATAACTAATGCATGAATCACTATAGCTTCAATTTGTAGAAATTGATAAACACTACACCTGGAAAAGTAGAGGACCACGTTGGAATGTTCTAGACAACACTGTTTGATACATGGCAATGAAACCTCTCAACAAAGAAATAGCACACGTTTTGCAGCAAAGATGGCGCCAGAAGTGCACCAAATCGTACTCAGGACATCCTGACACTTTTGTCGTGTTACTTATCAATTTACTTTATACGAAATCTACTCCCATGCAACGAAACAACGAAGATTTCCGATAACTGATAAATGTAACACTGATGGCTCATATTCCTAGATAATGGAATGTCTAATGTTGGCATCATAATTATATTATTTTAAATTTGAAAATTACTTTTGTGTATGTACTCACTATACCTCAGAATGAAAATGGAGGTTATTAGATTTGATTGCTTATTATCGAATTATACAGGAAAATAATATAGTTACTGCAACATTTTTATTTATATTCTATCATTCGGCAAAGATCAGGTAAATTTACAAAGTAAGGGTGAGTTCGATTTAAGGATATTGTCTACTTTTTGGTTTTATAATTAACACTGTAGGACATGGATGATAGACAAGAGGTTAACTTGGACGTTATAGGTTTAAACAGCTAAAACCTTGTCCTTTTTATTATTGTTCGTCAGTTGCTCACAAAATAGTTTTCACCTGCGACTTGGAAGTTAATTGAAGAAACTGGATGTCTTTTGTGTGCTATTTTTGCAGTTATTTTCATAGAGGTTTGAACACTCTGGACCTCTTCTACAAACTGGTATGTATTTTTTCATTTTATTTAATTTTTTTGCCTGCGCGATTTGAATGTATTTATAATTGAAAATATTCAGACATTTTCTTTGATGTTGTTGATATTTCTCCGACTTGTAGCTGCTTTTGATCTATGTTTATGTTTTAACGTTATTTAGTCGCCATATACATATACGAAAATTATGTTATAAGGTAGAAGGATTGTGAAGTGACAATCTACAGCGCTTTTGAGTTCAATAATCCTTGGGTTTAGACACTGTTAAGAGATTTACACTAAACAGCATGGATATATGCATACATTTCAGTACAGAAAACTAAATAGCTTAACATAACATAACTATAAAGGGCAGAAAGGGACCTTTTGATCCATCTAGGATTCCCTATCCACTAAATCAAATTAAACCCTAAAAAAATAACACCTTCAAGCCAGCCCTTATAATTCAAACATACATCAAGCTTTACCTTAAACTCCCTTAAATTAACTGAATTTACCACATGCAAAGGCAAACCCGTTCCAGAGGCCAACCACCCTTTAAGAAAAATAAAGCTGCCTTAGCTGTAGATGACTTCTTCCCTGCCAAAATTTATATTTATGTCACTAGTTACCCCGATTGTTGAACAGCACATTGCTAGAGGGCGAAACTCATGTGTTGACCTCAGGCAATAGAGGAGGGAGGGGATGAGACGATGATGTCATAGTTCCATGAAGTGTCACCATATGGTACGTTGCTATGTTACCATGACAGACGGAATACAGAGAGCATTGCTAGGCGTGACGTCATAGTTACACGAATTAGAATCAAAGGGCACTGGTGCAAGTTGTCGAGAAAGCATACCACACAGTGGAACCAAAGATTGCATTTCTAGGCTACCATGATGATATCATCATAGAGTTTATCAACATGTGATTATGTCATCAATGTCTAGAGTTATTATAATAGAAGTAAAGCTATTATTCTGATGAAACAAGTATTACAATGCTGTTACACATGTCAGTTTGCATCATAGATCATTTGAACAAGACAAATATTATAGTCAGTAATTTACTTTACATAGTTTCACAATCATCTGTCGCTTTATGTATACAAAACTGACAGAAAAACTAGAAATTATATTTCCGTATCTTCACGTTATGTGCATTTAAACCTATTAGTTTTCCAAATGCATTTATCCTAATTGAACATAACCAAAAAGGACTATTAATTAGAACTCAAGTACTTATTCTTCCATTATTTCATAGATATTTTCCTCCCAAAGATTTTGAAACATGTGATGTATTATCTTTAACTTATACTTTATAGAGAGAATATCATTTGCAAATAAGTGTCTGTGATTGTCTTATATAAAACTCACATTTCATACAAAACTTCAAGATATACTAATATACTATTAACGTAAACATTTTAGCTTATACAATACTGTCTCACAGCTCAATGTAATAATATGTGTGGTATATACTTTTCTCTAGCATCTTATTAGTCAAACAGAATAAACCGCTCCAAAGGAAACATAATGGTAATTCCACAAAGTGTTCGAAGTTTCTTTAATTTATGATCTATACAAACCAAACCAGTCATTTGAAATCCGTAAGTAAATTAACTGTCCCCATCGTGCTGAACATTAGAGCTTGACCCTCATATTACCTCTTCCCTGATGTGTTTCACTATACTTTAATACGTAAGTAAAGACTTGTCAAGTATCATACATACTGAAACAATTGATTAACAAAACTTCAAGAGATACACTGATATAATATAAACAAGTTTATGAAATACTGGATTAGCTCTCATACAGCTTTTGTATATTATACTCATATTTATATTTCTTTTGTGTAACATCATGTTTAAACAAACACTAAATTTATCACAAGACATTTTAACGTATATTTTGAAACAATGTTACAGTAACATGTGGTGTATTATCTTTTACACTTATACACAGAACATTAAATCTTATCATTCGTTCTGTTATTTATAATTAGTGGTAAATATCAAATGTAACATAGTTTTAATAATAACACTCAGATCAATACTGATGTTTATTGTAAAAGTTAAAAGTGAGAAACTTTTTTCATCAGTGGAGGTGATATGAGCAATCATAACTTTCTCTTTTTTAGAGTGTGATGGCAGTGAAAATGACCTTTAACTTTCATTCATTAAACAAAATCATTTTCTTCACTATTTTTGGACGAATCCTCATCTAAAATACATTATATCTATTCTGTATAACACCAGGGGCCCAGTGTAGTAATATTTGAGGAATATTTAAATGTTCAATCAAATCATTACATGTATAAAACACATTTCCATAGAGAAAACAAATAAAACACTCACCAAACTTATTTGTATTGAGATGATTATCACATGATTGTACATTTTAGAAATATTCACCACAAAGTATATGCTCATAACCCATTATTGTAAGCATGTTTGCAAATTAATTTTACACACATAGAAATTATACAACAAAGGAACTCACCAGAAATGGCACCAAAGATTAAAACTCTGTGAGCAATGCTTTGACCATTGTGTATTAGCCACACGCATGTCAACAACTACTAAATGATAAACAATCACCTTTCTGTCATGAGACATAGTCTTATATTTATCTTTATAAATATTATAAATAATATATTATAAATATATAAATATATAAATATTATTAATATTATAAATAAATATTATCTTTATAAATATATAATCTTTATAAATATAATATCTTTATATTTATCTTATATTTATATTTAGTGTATATTGCAAAATAGACTTGGTCAACTCATTACTGACCTTTGTCATGTGACTGTCAATGAGCTCAACGTACAGTATTTGAAAACATTTTCTGGATATATAGCAACATTATATTTTGAGTGTTTCAAAGTATGTGTTACTTTTGCAACATTATAGCATGAGGTATTAAAGATGATAATTAGACTGTAGACTGAATTTGTGACGAAACACTATCTGGACTGTTACCATTAGAGTACATAATGAAGTCTCATACATTTCACATGTCTAAGTAGATATTAAAGTAGACATGAAAGAATTATTCTAAGCCATCTGACACAGTATAATCTGTAAATAATAATAGTAAATGTGTTATAAATATAAAAGAATAGACGTGAGAAACATCTATTATTTTTTATTTCAACAATTTATGTTAAAATTCTTAATATAATGTAAACATATTTCAATGTATTTTATTTCTAATCTCAGTTCAGCCTTTTGGAGTTAGTTAGACTGATTGGCCTTAGGTTGAACACGTCACAGTGAGTCAGAGTGAATTGTGTCCATGGTGTTAGTGACCCACAGATAGAAACAAAAAATACGTCTATATGCATCTTTACAGACGTTTTGATTAACATATGGAGATACATTCAGGTATATATGTACTTCAAAACTGCAAAGTTTTATAATGTTAATTGTATAGTATTTCAAATGAATGATAAGTGTTGCTATTTTATATAGTTTCTACAATAGTAAAGTGACTGATTAAACAATAAGTCATTCATTTATTATATTTACTTGTAGCAAAATGGTTAGGTTAATGACCTTCAGACAGAAATGTCTCTCGACAATAGTAATCCTAAACATGAAAATAAGTATCCTTTTCAGGATTTGTAAGAACTGTGGTAGGTAAATAAGGTAAAATAATATTGATTAATCGATATTCTACGAACTATGCTAATACTGTCCTTTGTGCATCATCTGCCTATAGTAACTCTATCCTCCTAAAAATGCACGTGTAAATGAAAAATATAAACATACGTATGCTGTATGCAGCTCTATGAAAGTATAGTACACTGGTCCCCATTATATGTCGCATCACTCTGCATCGTTTCATTATTAGAGTGATCAACAATTAATACCGATGTATCAAACAG